GTACTTTTTTCGGATTAAGAGAACAAAGTTGCTTGTAAATAAAATCTTCAGTTACATGATGTAAATTAAAAGTGCTTTTATGTACATTCTTTTTGGTGTAAAAATTCTGTAACAGAAGTGATTTGAAGTTAAACCGATTGCTAGGGGGAGGTAACTTTTGCACAAGAGTTGATGCAACCGTTGTGAAGAAGTTATTGAAATGTTTTGAAACAGACTTTGGGTCATGAATATTAGTGTCATTTACATTTAAGACAATGTTTGCTTTATCCTTTTTATTGTTTTTATATCCAAGATCTTTAAGATTTTGCCAAAGTTTTTTTGAATTATTTTTGTTCTCTTCTAATTTGTTTGCTAAATATGTTGATTTAACTTTCTTTATTACTCTTTGTGTTTTATTTCTAATTTTACAAAAGTTTTTGTAATCATTTAGATTTTCAGTTTTTCTGAAATGGCTAAGATGCCAATCTCTTTTTGATATCAAATCTAGAATTTTACTATTTATCCATGGTTCAGTCCTTTGTTTTAATCTAATGTGTTTAATAGGTGCCACAGAATTCAATACTTCAGTAAATATATCTTTGAAACTTAACCAAGCTTCAGTGACATTTGTGCTATTAAGAAGATTTTCCCATTTTGCTTCAAGTAATTTTTGAATAAATTCCTCTTTGCAGTATTGTTTTAAAGATCTAATTTTAATTGCATTATGCTTATTAATTGGGATCCTGTTACATTTCCTAGTACAATAGGTAATGTAATGATCACTGAGACCTATATTTATTACCCCAGAATTACAAATTTTTTCACCAAAATTGGACAATATGTGATCAATAATACTTTTAGTTGTTCCTGTCACTCTTGTAAAGTCCACGATTATCTGTCGAAAGTTATAAAGCTTTAGAATGTTATTATACAGTTTATACAATGGGCTACACTTTTTTGACAAGCATATGTTAATATCACCTAGGAGTATGGTTTCATTGTCAATGTTCAAATTCGAGATAAGTGTTTCAATGTATTCCAGAAAGTTATTTTTCTTAGGTGGCCTATAAATAGTTCCAACAAGTATTGGTTTGGTTTTAGGTAATACAAGTTCAATAAACACGGATTCAACATCATTATGTTGCAGATCTGCTCTGTTGGTTGTGGCCAAGTCTGATCTAAAATATAAACATACTCCCCCGCCCTGTCTATTCCCATCTTTTCGTACTATGTCATAATTGTTAATACTAACTTCGGTGTAAGTAACACTGTTATCCAGCCATGTTTCAGAAATTGATATAACTTCTGCCTTAGAATATGACGCAATTAGTCGCAGTTCAGATAATTTGGGTAGTAATGATCGAACATTTACATGAAGAAAGTGTAGTCCTTTATTCGAAGAGCATTGGAATAAATCACTGGAGATATCCGTGGTACTGGAACTCGGTTGTTTTACGTTTTCCTGGGTTTCAATGTTATCATGAAAAAATGGTAGGTTTGCAAAGCTACACTGGTAACATTCAATTTCATAGGATAGAGAACCCTTTAGATTCAATTTGTTCACTATAGTTCGGGATAAACACTTGGCATGGGTACAGGAAAAACATGTTGGGCATATTACTACTTTGGTTCGTTTGTTTATTTGTATTGAGAAGACGACACAAACATTGGATTGTCTCCCTTCTCTTCTTGTTGATGTATTACTATTGACATAATTAGTCCTACTGATTTGTTTGGGGCCGGGATGGGGATGAACAATAACATCGCCACACTAGAGTACACATAGAATATATACCATAAAGTATCTTAAATCAAGCTTTAAGTGGAATTGTTTATTCAAAATTGTTGTACTGGCTGTCCTGTCACTTGAATGCAAATGGCGGGTGTAAACAAACTGGGATCGAGTCTCATATGATACTGATTCATTGAAAATTTCACTAAAATGATTAATCAAACCATAGAAATGCTGTTGCAAGTTGTTACGGAAGATGTTATGATGAGCTGTACAAGCTTCATAGTGAGGATAGATGAAATTATTTATGACAATTGATGAAATTAACACAGTTAAAATAATTCTGCCTCCAAACGATTTCATGACCATGACCTTATAATGCAGCGGATATGTTCCAAGTTTCCGATCCTGTACCTCATGTCAATTTCCCGACATATATCCGATAGGCTTCGCAAGGATATTTGGACGGAGAAGTTTGTGGATTTGTCATTACTCCTGCCAGGTAATATTATACAAACGCAGTTAGCATTGAATATTTCTGACACAGATGATGAACCAACTATCAAGATTTCTTCATCACCGAAGTCCAAATTGTTATCGATTGAGCTTTGGCAGAAAGCCTTTTTGATTTTTATGGATGTAATGATACAAAAAGATCCACTAGTAGCATCCAAGTTATTATCGTATTCCTCACTCATATCTGAGTTGGCACAGAATTACGGCGGCAGGTCCTTTTTGTATTATGATACAGAATTTCGCATGTTGCGTCAATCAACCCCTTTCCCGTGGGATTTGATGCATGCCGACCTATGGTTAAGGGCTACGACTCTGTTTAGCGCTACATCTACTAGATCTGTGTAACACCAAGCCTCACACACCCAAGTTTCAGGTGGGCGGGGAAGTACCTGTTGGCATTACAACAAAATGCAGGGATGTAAACATCAAAGATGTGATTTTTCACATGTATGTAGCCGTTCTGGTTACAAACACCCTGTGTTTCGTTGTTTTGCTAAGGTTAAACAGAATGCTCCCAGGGGTGGGAATACCTTTGATGACTCAGCAATGAATCCACACGCCTACCCTGCACCGAGTTATCCATCCATCCCGATTTCTGTCCCACATTCAAATATGCTAGCCAGAAATGTGCAACCAATCCCTATCACTGCTGCCTTATCAAATTCTTCGGTTCAGAGTGTGTTACAGCCACAAGTATCTTCTGGCCTTAAATCAGTTCCCGCGCCTTTACAATCGCTGCAATCGCAACCCGAAACGGGATTGCCAGTGTCAAAATCCCGTTATTCATTTCGCAAAATTAATCCAACCTCAAGTAACCCCAATCGATTCCAGTAGACTTAACGAAGTGTTGCTTGGCTACGTCTTGGAGAAAATTTTTTTAGGCCAGGGCTTTACTTGGGGTTTTAGGATCCCATACAATGGGGAACGGGTGTTTTCTTGGGCTAGGAACCACTCCTCATGTTATCAAAATAGGGACATTCTGCTTAAGAAATTGAATGATGAGCTACAAACACATAGAATCATGGGCCCCTTTTTAGAACCCCCTTTTAAAAATTTACGCTGCCAGAGTTGCCAGACTTTTGAACGCTTTAGTACCGCGCTACATTGGATTATGGAAACCAAATATAATGCATCCCTAAGTCACATGATTGATGACTTTTTCTTTATTGGACCAAGAGGGTTGGATGGCTGAATGGTTAGCGTGCGCGCGCTGTATCATAAAGTCTGTCATTGAGTCGACTGGCATGGTTTCGAATCCCCGGTTGTACGTGACAAGGAGTAGGGTCGCCTGTCCAACCTCGTGGGTTTTCTCCGGGTCCTCCGATTTCCTCCCACTGCTAAAGAACCCTACGCGCAAGCGAATTATTGAAATAAAATTAAACCATATGTTAGTCCTGAAATGACCTAGTTTGTGTCGAGTGGACGTTAAACCCCATTTCTCTCTCTCTCTCTTATTGGACCACCTAGCGGGTCAGTGTGTGCCGATTCCTTGCACAATTTTATGACACTTGCGCATTACCTACATATCCCCATTAAGACGTCCAAAACGGTTGAACCTACTACAAACATAATCATTTACGGAATTGAGATTGATTCCATGCAGATGGTTAGCCGCTTACCGGAGGAAAAAGTAGTTAAGATTAGAGCTGCTTTGTCTGAATTCCTAAATAAAATAACGACAAAGTTACACTTCAACAACTTCAGTCCCTTCTAGGCCTCTTAAATTTTGCCACCTTGGTAGTTGTCCCTGGTCGTACATTTGTTCGCAGATGGTATGATCTTACCATCGGGGTTACAAAGCCTTATTACAAAATAAGATTAAATAATTCTGCTAAAGCTGATACAAGGTTATGGTACGAATATATGCAGGGATTTAACGCCGTTGTATGTTTCTGAGTGATGCTTGGTTGGGTTCAGATTATTTGAAGTTGTTTACTGATGCGGCATCATCCGCAGGGTATGCAGCAGTGTTAAATTCAAAATGGTTTTATGGAACATGGCCTCAAGAAATGCAGAATATGAGTTTTAATGTTCAGGAACTTTTCCCAATTGTTCTTGCAATTGAACATTGGGGACCTTTATTGCGAAATCATAGAATCCTCATGTTATCTGATAATGAGTGTGGTGTGTTTGTTATAAACAAGGCCACTTCAAAGTGTCCACATTTAATGAAATTGCTTCGTCGTCTAATAATGGCTGCTATAAAGTACAATATATTTGTCAGGTCAAAACATATTCCAGGGAAGTCTAATCTTGTTGCTGATTGTTTGTCCCGTTTTAAATTTCAGCAAGCCAGGCACTGGGCTCCATGGTTAGATGCCAATCCTCAGGTTTTGAATCTAGATCATTTGAAAATTTAACACCATCTGCACTTAAATTAATTGGCGCAGCTTTAGCCCCATCTTCTAAAGCAAATTACTTCCGAGCATGGGTGAGATTTGTATCATTTTGTAAGGACAGTAACTTGTCTCTGTGTTTCCCTCTTCCTAATCAACTTGTGGTTAATTACTTTGCTAATATGTTTTATTCGGGTTTTCACCAAGTACAATTGCATCCCATGCATCTGTTCTAGCGTTTGTTCAAAAGCTGTTGGGATATCCAGATACCATTAATTCCTTTATGTTAAAAAATCTCTTAAAGGGTGCTCGAAAAATGCATGTACCTTCACAATCCCGCTTGCCGATTACTTCTGACATACTGACTCGCATTATTTGCGCTATTCTATCTATGATCTAGAACACCATGTGAATCTACTGTACATTAAAAATCTTACCAATTAAATTGTTATCGCGCACAAAGCAGCGAAATTCCATTCCTGGTTGAATATCTATCCATTTCCTTAAAACAAGCTCATATTTAATTGGATCTTGTGTTCCACAGTCTTCACAATGAGTGAATCTAAAATAACAAGCCAACAGTGAGGCTAATGTCCCCCGCCGAAATTCCAAAATAAATAGATGACACATATTAATTAATCGCCCATTTATTTTTTTTCAAAAGTATCAAGCAATCAAACTGATTATCAACTATTAGTAGGTCAAAGTAATGAAAAAGATAGGTTGCCAGGCAACAAAACATACTCCCACAGCAGCTAAATCGTCCGAGCAGTCGACAAGGGTTGTCACATATTTATTCTTTTGTAGGTAATTAGGGGAATTTAATAGACAATTTCTAACAGATGACATTATAATTTTTGTCGTTTGAGGGTTAACAATGTTCTAAAAACTAAAACAAGAGCCGTAACTCTGGAAGTGATCCACAGAAATTGTTGAAATCAGACAGGCTTTTTCGTTTTACTAATTCAAATAATGCATATAAATTTCATACAGATCGGATGATAACTTTTGTTGTTTGAACGTTCACAAAGTTTAGCAAAGTAAATCAAGGGCCATAATTCTAAACGTAATTGACGGAAATTGCTGACATTCAATAGGCTTCTTCATTTCACTAATTTAAATGATGCATATGAATTTCATACAGATTAGGTGATAACTTTTGTCGTTCAAGCGTTCACAAGATTCAACAAAGTTAAACAGGGGCCATAACTCTAGATGTAATGAACGGAAATTGCTGAAATTCAATAGGTTTCTTTGTTTTACTAATTTAAATGATGCATATAAATTTCATACAGATTGGTTGATAACTTTGAAGAAATTAACGGAAGTTATTGAAATTAAATAGGTTTCTTCATCTCACTATTGCAAACAACATATATCAATTTCAAAACAATCAGATGATAAATGCAGTCTGAAGAGTGTTCACAAGAAATTGTGGACGATGGGGGCGACGACAATATACGACCACATTTCCATGTGGGCGTATAAAAATGGGCCAACCTCAAAAAAACTGCAAGAAAATGTTTTATGGTTGTTTCCTGTAGTATATGGTCTAGACAAAAACATATCAAAAGTTGTCTGAATATGTTCCTTTTTGATGGTTTGTTAGCCATTTCATTTGAGGTTGTAGATGGATGGATAGCATTAATGCGGGCAATTGCTGCAACAGGAAAGCCAACAATGATTTATGGTCAGTCTAGACCTATATTATCACCAAAAACAAAGACCCAGTCTGAAATCTGTGATAAAATGGGTCAAATTGGCCAAAATTCAAATTGGTTGCTGGTTTGGGCTGGTAAATTTCAATTTCCACCCAATTATCATAATATGATCGATATTGGTATCAAAATATATGTTTTCGGAGTAACTGAATCCATTTCCATACATACTTTTGTGATAAGTGTTACCACTGAGTCAATATTGGGAGTTATTTTGGCGGGAAAGTTCGAATTTTACAAAAGAATCAGGTTTGGTGTCAAAATTTACCTTTTCGAGGTAGCTGAATCCATTTTTGTACATATTTTAGTGATTAAGTGATTCCCTGTGTCAATATAGGATAAATTCCAATTATGGATTTAGATTACAGATTAAGGAATGGAGGTTAATGATACTCCTACCTTAAGGCTAATACAATGACATTCATCGAGTATCAACTAAATTTCATTTGGAGTGTCGCCCAGCTCACTGTGGTAGCGGCGTATGGGTATGTCGACTGGGGACACTCCCAGGTCACTGCAGAAGTTGATCATGCCTTGAAGCACGTTGCTAATTTAATTCACAAACTGATTCAAATGTTGAGACACGATGGATACAGTATCGCCTGTTTGTCACATATGCAGTGAACCATTTGATAATGATCTGCCCAACATTATTTCGCAAATAACGGGTATTGAGAATGTCAATAAGGCGGCTAAGCGAAGAAATTATGGTCATGATTTCAAGCTCCTTGAAAAAAAATATGTGGAATGTCGCAACTTTCACTATTGCACAATGTTGTAACGCTATTGAAGTGGAGAAGCCTGTATCAAGGTCTAGACGGTCTGCAGTGCCAAAATCAATTTTTGCGCCATGTTGTCTTTTACTACATTGTCTGTAAGAAAGACTAGCAGACAGTCCATTAAAACAGATATAGCCGGTGACCGCTGCTACAACGCCTACTTTTTGGACGTGCCAAGACTGGACATTTGACGACTGGAAATTAATCTAGTGTCATCCGGTGTTCCTAAATAGATGACACTCATTAATTACTTGCACACCTAACATATTTATAAAGCATCTAGCGTTAAAATTCTTCATCACTCTGTGTAACCTAAGCAAAAAATCTCATTGCAGAGGCATGCTCTAATAAATGCAAACAAGCCGAAATCCCAAAATAAATAGATGACACATATTAATTATCTTGTCCCAAAGCATCGACCAATGAAATTGATTAGCTCTGCTTAACTTTAGCTTGATATGTTAATCATTGAAATCAGTCAAGACATTCACCTAATGAACATCTAACATCAGGTTTAAACATTCTACCTCAATTAAAAGCAGAGTTTCTATGTTCCAAAGTCTTGACCAATCAAATTGCTTATAACCAAAGTTACCGTGTCCCTAAAGCATCAACTAATCAGATTGCTTATCTCTGCCTATCGTAAGAAGACAATGTTCATAATCAAACTCCATCAAGGGATTCACCTAATGAATGCCTACACCAAGTCTGAACATTCTACCTCAATTAGAACCTGAGAGTTATTGTGTTCCAAAGTCTTGACCAATCAAATTGCTTATCACTCTGCTTACCCTCAGCAGAAAATGTTCATTATCAAACTTAGTCAAGGTATTGATGTAATAAAGCTATACACCAAGTGTCCCCACTCTCACTTAATAAGAACTAAAGTTATTGTGTCCCAAAGCATCAACCAATCAAATTGCTTATCTCTGCTTACCCTACGCAGAAAATTCTCATCTACGAACTCCACCAAGAAATTGACCCAATAAACACCTACACCAAGTTTGAACATTCTAGCTCAATTAGAAGGAGAATTATTGTGTTCCAAAATCTTGGCCAATCAAATTGCTTATCGCTCCGCTTACCCTGAGCAGAAAATGCTCATTATCGAACTTAGTCAAGGTATTGATGTAATGAAACTATACACCAAGTTTCATCACTCTCACTTAATTAGAACTAAAGTTATTGTGTCCCAAAGCATCAACCAATCAAATTGCTTATCTCTGCTTACCCTAAGCGGAAAATGCTCATCTTCGAACTCCATCAAGGTATTGACCTAATAAACACCTACACCAAGGTTGAACATTCTAGCTCAATTGGAAAGAGAGTTATTGTGTCCCAAAAAGTGTGACGGACAGACAGACAGACAGAAAGACGGACGGACGGACGGACGGACGGATAGACGGACGAACCCATTTCAATAGTCCCCTCATTTCTTCGAAAGGCAAGGGAAAAAAAAATGCAAAGATAGGTTGCCAGGCAACGAAACATACGCCCACAGCAGCTAAATTGTCCGGGCAGTCAACAAGAGTTGTCGCATATTTTTACTTTTTTCGGTAATGAAACATTTATAATACATTAAAATCTGATTAAGAGTAACAACTCATTAAGTAATTATCAGAAATTATACAAAACTTTTCACATCGTGAATTTAGCTGTTCAAGTCATAAAGATTCATTGAAAATCAACATACTTGTTCGTCTCAAGACCTTAAACACTGTGTAGTAATTATTGGAAAACGCTGAAAATCAATAGGCTTCTTTGTGTCATGACCTTAAACACTGTGTATAAATTTAAAGTCAATCGGATATTAACTTTAGCCTCTAGAGCGCCCACAAGATTTTTCAAAGTGATCAAGGGCCATAACTCTGGCAAAAATTATCGTAAATCGCTGAAAATCAATAGGCTTCTTCGTCTCATGGTCTTAAAAACTGTATATAAATTTAAAGTCAATCTGATATTAACTTTGACCTGTAGAGCGTCAACAAGAATTTTCAAAGTGATCAAGGGTCATAACTCTGGCAAAAATTATCAGAAATCGCTGAAAATCAATAGGCTTCTTCATCTCATGACCTTGAACACTGTGTATCAATTGAAAGCCAATTGGATATTAACTTTAGCCTCTAGGGCGTCCACAAGATTTTTTAAAGTGATCAAGGGCCATAACTCTGGCAGTAATTATCGGAAATCGCTGAAAATCAATAGGCTTCTTTGTGTCATGACCTTAAACACTGTGTATAAATTTAAAGTCAATCGGATATTAACTTTAGCCTCTAGAGCGCCCACAAGATTTTTCAAAGTGATCAAGGGCCATAACTCTGGCAAAAATTATCGTAAATTGCTGAAAATTAATAGGCTTCTTCGTCTCATGGTCTTAAAAACTGTATATAAATTTAAAGTCAATCTGATATTAACTTTGACCTGTAGAGCGTCAACAAGAATTTTCAAAGTGATCAAGGTTCATAACTCTGGCAAAAATTATCAGAAATCGCTGAAAATCAATAGGCTTCTTCATCTCATGACCTTGAACACTGTGTATCAATTGAAAGCCAATCGGATATTAACTTTAGCCTCTAGGGCGTCCACAAGATTTTTTAAAGTGATCAAGGGCCATAACTCTGGCAGTAATTATTGGAAATCGCTGAAAATCAATAGGCTTCTTTGTGTCATGACCTTAAACACTGTGTATAAATTTAAAGTCAATCGGATATTAACTTTAGCCTCTAGAGCGCCCACAAGATTTTTCAAAGTGATCAAGGGCCATAACTCTGGCAGTAATTATCGGAAATCGCTGAAAATCAATAGGTTTATTCGTCTCATGACCTTAAACACAGTGTAAAAATTTAACATCAATCGGATATTAACTTTGACCTCTAGAGCGCCCACAAGATTTTTTGAAGTGATCAAAGGCCATAACTCTGGCACTAATTATCGAAAATCGTTGAAAATCAATAGGATTCTTCATCTCAAGATCTTAAACACTGTGTATAAATTTAATGTCAATCGGATATTTACTTTAGCCTATAGAGCGTCCACAAGCAATTGTGGACGCCGGACGGACGGGG